TGTGTGATCACATTTTTCGGTTACGGAAAAAAATTATGAATGATACAATGCATTAAAAACAAGATCAGAAATGTGAATTTTAGAAAACCAATTAGAAAAAATGCTCTGAATAAATGCAAAAGAAAAAAATTAAACGGCAAACAAGTTGAAACGTTATTTTAAGCGCGTAGTACCATTCACGCGATTATTAAAGTGAAAAGAAATTTGAATGATAAATGATTCTGATAAATTATCGAAAGAGTAAATTGAAGAAATATTACAGTAACATAGTCTGATAATAAATTTGACAATATATTAGAAACAAGACCAACAGAAATTTGAATTTCAAAAACCAATTTAAAAAAATGCTCTGAATGCAACAAAAAAAAATTAAAAAAGCAAAAAGTTAAAAGTTGTTTTAAACATGTAGTACCATTCATTCAGAGCAAAAACAGTATAATGTTCCCACGGTCACTCAAAACAATGAGCAAATTTGAAATAAGGTGACTTGCAAACAGAAGTATATTACCATGTCTCACACCTGTAGATTTGTTCTACAGGATTTTTCATTGTCTTTCTCGGAGTGGGTTTTATCAGATGGTGAACATGTTATTGCATATGCTTTTATGAGATTGCATGTTTGCATCGATCTTTGTGGCGACTTGACGAAGTCGCCTAACGTTAACTGTCCTGGCAAATACTATTATTGGCAGCTGCAAATTGAGTTTATTCTAGCGATTTTCTGAACTACTAACGTAAACCTATTTACCTGAAAAGTAATATATTATAATATTAATAAATTGAATTATTCAAATCCAAATATGTTGTATATATACATATATTTTTTTTTATAAGATAAATATATATCTATATCTATAAATATATATATATTTTTTCTATATTCCAATAAAATTAAGATGCTTTATAGCTAATGCACCAGCTAGAGCATTTATTTTGAATCATCGTGGGCATATGGCTTTTAGACCATGTTCCAAATGTAAGGTTTCTGCGGAACACAAATCGAAGGTCATTACGTCTTTAATGGTATCAACCCCCTCAATTCTCCCCGAACAGATGACGAACATTCAATGTATAGATAAGGATCATCATAAAGATGGGAAGAGTTCATATCATCCCCGATAAGTTTGGTATCACAAGTCCTTTTTGAATATATGCATCTTATACATATGTATAGACGTGATGAAAAAAATTCTATCCAGGTGGATGTATGGTAAACTCTCACGTGCTTCAAAATTGTCGGGAAGATATATTTCTATTACCAAGATTAAATATTCTACAAGAATATTGTTTTTCAGAATTTGTTAGATGCCCAATCTTTTGATCTATGCTCGAAGTATAAAGCGACAGAATTTCGTCAATTCTGCTTCATACAGATCCAGTCATAATGTACGGTTTACTTAATAATAAAATTTATAAGCACATTTTATTATTGCACAGTGTCATCAGGATCTCAAAATATTCAACAAGATAACATTTATATTTTGCTGAGCTAGCGCTATAAAAATTTGTCCTATACTATAGCGATCTGTATGGTCCAACTTTTAATAATTTCAACGTACACGGTATTCTTCTTGACGTTAATACACGTTATCTTATTGATGTTA